CGAGGTTCTGGGAATCAAGCTGTCCCTTTCATCGGCCTACCACCCTCAGACAAATGGGCAGACAGGACAAACCAGACGCTGGAACAGTACTTGAGGTGCTACACGTCTTTTCTCCAAGACGACTGGCTGGCACTCTTGCCATTAGCGGAGTTCGCATATAATAACGCGAATCATTCTGCTACGGGGCAATCCCCCTTCTTCGCCAATTACGGGTTTCACCCCACATTTTTACCTGACCTGATTCCGGAAAGCCCGGTCCCGGCTACACAGAACATGCTAGATTTTTTTCCACCAATAACAAGGTACTTCAAGAAGCCATGTCAAAGGCCCAAGAGGACAGTAAGAGGGCCTTCGACAGGAAAAGAAGAGGTGAATTAAGCTTGCAACCAGGAGACCAGGTCTGGCTAGCTACTACCAATTTGAGGATGTCTTGCCCCTCGAAAAAGTTGGGACCAAAATTTATGGGCCCATTCCGGGTGAAACGGAGGATCAATGAGGTGGCATATGAGCTGGCACTCCCAGGAAACTTCAAGATTCACCCAGTGTTTAATGTGTTGTTACTGAAGCCAGCAACGCCAGATCCCTTCCCGGACCAAAGGTCCAGGCCTACAGAGCCTATAACCATCAACGAACAGGAAGAATTTTAGGTTGAAGCAATCATCGATTGCAGGAAAAGATGCGGTCAGACACAGTTCCTAATTAAGTGGAAGGGCTATGACCCTGAAGAGAATTCGTGGGAACCGGCCCAAAATGTTCACGCCCCTAGACTTGTCCAGGAGTTCTATCGTAACCACCCACGAAGGAGAGATCGGTTGGGCATCCGGAGGATGCACGTGGGGGGGGCAATGTCAGGGATCGTCGGTGGTGGCAAGTGACTCCGGGCATGCGCGGAGCACCGATCTATACATCCGACGGACTCTGAGACCTGTACGGCGGCGGCCCGCGCATGCACACTCGCGATCGCGGCCGCTCGCACGGCACCAATAGCAGGGCAGGGAGCACTATTTAAACCTGCCCTGCACTGACACCATTGCCGTATGGTCTTTTCTCCCGTGTTCCTGTGATCCTGACCTCCGCTGACTTCTCCTGCTCTGATCCCCTGGCTAGTCTGACCTCTCTTCTGCATATTCCCATACCTGATCTGAACTCCTGTTGCCGACCCCTGCGAGTGACCTGACTATTCTTCTGCCTGCTGCCTTGTACTACACTGATCCCACTGTTACTGACCCGGCTCATTGACCACGCTTACTACTCTGCCATCCATCCATCCCGCTTGGATCCAGTCTTCCACCTTTTCACGGCAGGCTCTCTACCTGCATATACCTCTGGCGGGTCCCTCTGCCACGGGGGTACTCAGGGGTTGTGACCTGGTCCTTGTCTGCTCCAACCCCATCCCCACCATCAGGGGCCTGGTGAACAAGCAACTGGGGCTTAGACTCCGCGCCCTGGGGAATCCTGTCCTGTGGACTGCTAGAGGCCCTGCTAGGTGGTTCATAACAGGGGCAGAGAGCTGAAGTCACTCTCTTCACAGCTCAGTGAAGTGAGCTCTGAGAGATGATTGATGGGACGGGACACACTTCCTTCACACAGGAACACAGCTGAGGCTGTCAATCACAGGCTGTGTGCTGGAGCTTCTCCCCTTTCACATTTCTTCTCTTGTGTCAGGAAGACTTGTCAGAAGTGATTCATGCTGATCGCAGAGGAAGGAGACAGCAGACAGAAATGACTCTTATTGCTCTGGAGTGAGACAAGTACACACTGTAGAGGGATATGCTTTGTTCATATTCCATGTCTGAGGGTTACAACCCCTGTAAGTGATCTCTGATTACTAAACACCAATTTGATGTGATCCTTACACTATTTATTAGTGTGGCCCCCCTTGTCCTGAATAGAGGTACTATGTGGGTGTTAGTTTGTGGCTGGGCTGTACTTGGCTCAGGCTGATTGTATAGTTCTTCACTTGGTTTCTCCCTAAGTTCAGGTTGTCCTGTGATGTCTCACTGTGGCCAGTAGATGTCACTGCTATCACTGGACATAGGATGAGATTTCACCAACCAAACTAAAGGGATATTAACCACTTGACCTCCAGAGGATTTACCCCCCTTAATGACCACGCCTCTTTTTGCTACTCGGTGCTGCACTAATTCAACTGATAATTGCACGGTCATGCAATGCTGCACCCAAACAAAATTTACGTCCTTTTTTTCACACAAATAGAGCTTTCTTTTGGTGGTATTTGATCACCTTTGCGCTTTTTATTTTTCACGCTATAAACAAAAAAATGCCAAAAACTTTGAAGAAAAACAATATTTTTTACTTTCAGCTATAAAAAATATATAGTAAACTCAAAGTTGGTTATAAATTTAGGCCAAAATGTATTCTGCTCCATGTTTTTGGTAAAAAAAAATCCCAATAAGTGTATATTGATTGCTTTGTGTGGAAGTTATAGCGTCTACAAACTATGGGAGAGATATTGCAATTTACGCCATTTTTCTGATATACAGCGCTGCGCTAGTTTAACAGACAATTGCGCGGTCATGCAATACGGTACATAAATGAAATTTACATCCTTTTTTCCCCCACAAATTGAGCTTTCTTTCGGTGGTATTTGATCGCCTGTGCGGTTTTTATTTTTTGCGCTATAAAAAAAAGGCTGACAATTTTGAGAAAAAAAAAACAATATTTTGGACTTTTTGCTATAAAACATGTCCAGTAAAAAAAATGCAAAAATCAAATTTAGTCATAAATTTCTGCCAAAATGCATTCTGCGACATGTCTTTGGTAAAAAAAAAAACCCAATATGTGTAAATTAATTGGTTTACGTGAAAGTTATAGCGTTTACAAATGGCGGGAAAGATACTGGAATTTTTAGGGTTTTTTTTATACTAATAATGGCGGCGATCAGCGACTTATGGCGGGACTGCGGTGGACATTCTGACATTGGGGGGTACTGACTTGGGGTCACTGACATCCCCAAAAACACTAATACAGTGATCAGTGCAACAACAAAAAAACACTGACACTGTACTAATGACACTGGGGAGGAAGGGGTTAACTTTATTTTGCAGGGAAGGGTTATAGGAGTGAGGGGAGTGTTTTACTAGGGGGTGGGGTGGGGGTGTGTACTGGGCGGGACAAGGCTGATCGAGAAAGAGAAACTGTTCTTTCTCGATCAGCTCGTCCTCGAGCTGACAGGGAAGTGACAGACAGCACAGCTACTGCAGCTGTGCTCTCTGTCACTGTTTACCGCTGATCGCCGGGAAACAGCCGCTAAGGACCGGCTGTGACCCGACGACTCACATCTGCGGCGGTGATCGGCGGGACAGATAGGGCGGCGGCACGCCTCGTGTACGCCCCCTATTTGTTTACAAAACACACGTCTTAAAATGTGGTTTTGCCTGCGAGTGCCGCCCTGCCGCCGTATAGCTCCGGTCCTGGGCGGCAAGTGGTTAAACCACAAATGTCCCATGCAGCTTACCAATCATTGGGTGTGGCGGCTGCATTCCTTTTCTTTGGCTTTTTTCCCTGTTTTCACCTGGTGATTTGGCCATTAACACACCTTCTGTCTTAGAGCGCCCCCACTGTGGAGACAGCAGCATGGTCAGTCTAGGGGGAGGGGAGTGTTAGAAGTACTAGCAGATATAAAAACAGTAACTAATTGAAGCCAAACTCCAGCTCACACCTCATAATCAGTTTCATCAAACAGGTTTTTCCTTTTGGTAGAAAAGTTTGTCATGAATAAATAAAAGCTGATCATTGTAAGCCCCCTGTCAGTGGTAAATGGTCTTTATAAAACAACAGATTTACTGACTAGATCACCAGATAAATATAGAAGAAAACTAATACTGTATAGTCCTAACTTTTGTGTCCTTTATGATAAGTTGTACATTACATCGGCCTTACTTCTTTTCCACCCATTTCCTCCCAGCTGGACATTTTATATCGGATGATGTGATTGGAGCACGACTTTTACATGGTGATAATAATGTGATGACATCCTCCAACTTTGGACCCTTAAACAGAAAGTGATAATGAGGGAGGAGTCAATACCCCAATGATGGTGGTCTTCAGGATCAGTCCAGTCTTCATCTTGGTTGTTCTCCCCCCATCCTCACTCTCTGACCTCTGGTGGGGCTCAGCCCCGCTGTTCTTCATGACTAAATCATGGAGTAAATAAGGAAGTGCAGTACTTCTTGTGTTGGGAAGATGGCGATGAGTGATAGAGGGGGTGGGGACCCTCGTCCTATAATCCCCTCATCACTGTCCCTCCTATAAAAGACAGTTCTGGTTGTTTCCTCACTCTCTGACTAAGGTCCATGAATAAAGAAATGACCTGGTAGGAGATCAGAGGAGCCATTTCCTAGTTCCCTTGAGGGTGGAATTGTAAGCTCCTCAGAGACCAAGCTGCCTGATGTGGGCGGAGTCCTGGTTTGGGGGAACCAATCAGCTCCTGTCTAGTAATCCTCTTTGTCTTTGTATTTTAGTCCATGGCCGGGAGATGAGGAAAACCTCCGAGGATTGTCTCACTTTGTCTCCAGACTGGAAAGTAGAAGATGAGGACATCACACAGTATAGTCCAGGAGAAAACCCGGCTCCCTCCAATGTCCATCCGGCACCACCCAGTGTAGATGGACCATCGGATTCCTCGTATCCTGAGGAACCTCAGACTGTGCGGGACCGGGCCGGCCTTCCAACAGGGAAGAAGTACTGAGTGGTTCTCCTGTACTGAGTGCGGGAAATGCCATATTTCTGTTCTAAGTGCGGGAAATGTCTTAATACGGCATAAAAGATGTCACACAGGGGAGAAGCCGTATTCCTGTCCTGAGTGCGGGAAATGTTTTTCAGAGAAGTCCATCTTTACAAACATCAGAGATCTCACACGGGGAAAAGCCATATTCCTGTCCTGAGTGCGGGAAATGTTTTTCAGAGAAGTCCAGTCTTCACACACATCAGAGATCTCACACGGGGGAAAAGCCATATTCCTGTCCTGAGTGTGGGAAATGTTTTTCAGAAAAGTCTGTATTCCTGTCTTTCCAGGCATCAGAGATCTCACACGGGGGAGAAGCTGTATTCCTGTCCTGAGTGTGGGAAATGTTTTTCAGAGAAGTCCGGTCTTCACAAACATCAGAGATCTCACACGGGGGAGAAGCCATATTCCTGTCCTGAGTGTGGGAAATGTTTTTCAGAAAAGTACCAGTCTTTACACACATCAGAGATCTCACACGGGGGAGAAGCTGTATTCCTGTCCTGAGTGTGGGAAATGTTTTTTCAACTAAGTCGATCTTTCACACACATCAGAGATCTCACACGGGGAGGGGAGTGCGGGAAAGCCGTATTCTTGTCCTCAGAGTGCGGGAAATGTTTTTCAGTGAAGGTCCCAGTCTTTCAGAAACATCAGAGATCTCACATGGGGGAAAAGCCATATTCGTGTCCTGAGTGCGGGAAATGTTTTTCAGGGAAGTCCAGTCTTCAGAAACATCAGAAATTCACAGGGGGGAAAAGCCATATTCCTGTTCTGAGTGCAGGAAATGTTTTTCAGAGAAGTCCAGTCTGTACATACATCAGAGATCTCACACGGGGGAGAAGCCATATTTCTGTTCTGAGTGTGGGAAATGTTTTTCACAGACATCTGATCTTTACAGACATCAGAGATCTCACACGGGGGAGAAGCCGTATTCCTGTCCTGAGTGCGGGAAATGTTTTTTCAGACAAGTTCAGTCTTTAACAGACATCAAAGATCTCACACAGGGGAGAAGCCGTATTCCTGTCCTGAGTGCGGGAAATGTTTTTCACAGAAGTCCAGTTTTTACTCACATCAGAGATCTCACACACGGGGGAGAAGCCATATTCCTGTTCTGGAGTGTGGGAAATGTTTTGCAGAAAAATCAAAACTTGTCAGACATCAGAAGTCTCATGTGGTTGAAAAGCCATTTTCCTGTCTTGATTGCAGGAAATGTTTTTGAAGAAGTCCAGTCTTTACACACATCAGAGGTCTCACACGGGAAAGAAGCCACTTTCCTGTCCTGAGTGAGGGAAATGTTCCTGTTAGAAGCCTTCCATAACCTAATATCATTACTAACATATGTATGAATGTGTTGGATCTTAATAAAATAATTGATTTATTATATTTCAATTTTTTCTAGATTTGGAAAAGTGAGATAAACAGACTATTGTTAGTCTATGTGAATACATATGTATATGGATATATATCTTGGGTTTGTTCTCTACATTCTAGTAACATGTGGTAGTAATTAGTCATGAATTGGTTAGCTGGCTTCCCTCCCCCATCTCTGTGGGGAGGAGCTAAAGTTTCACTAATAGGAGAATTGTAAGAATCTATTTCATACATGGTAAGCATACACATTTTATACTGTAATATTTCTTGATTAGGATATTTCTATATGATATAACTTTTATATTAAGATTACTTTTGGGAGAATATATATATATATCTGTATAGTATATATGTGTAACACATCCCATCCCCCCTGACTGATGGAATGTCAGTGAAGGTTTGATTAGAGGTCCCAAGGATTCATTTTCAGCCTCTCTCCTAGGGGAGGGGAGAAGACTGAAGGTTTGTTCTATACATCTGTCACCAGATATTATTGTGGGACTATAAGAACCAGAGAGGACAACCAGCCAGGAGAAGGTGGGGGCTGAATTGCTCCTTTATAGAGCAGAACAAAGACTTTTTGGTGGCACACTTTTTAGAAGCTGGGCTAAGGAGACTACAGATTCACACAAACAATTTTACATACAATTTTTTATCTCAAGAACATAACTATATTTTTGGACATTATCTAAACATTTTGAATTCCAATATTTTATTTCTAATTGTATGCAATATTATTATTAAACACATTTTTGAGTTTATGTAAGAGTTGGAAGGACTTTCTGTTTTGGACTTTTCTCATCAATACAAGTTTTAAGGTCTTTTTTATATACAAATATGGATTACAGTGCGAACATAGACACCATATGCAGCATCCCGCTTCCCAGACGGGCTATGGGTTTGAATCAGGCTGGATTTGATGTAAATCACTAGTCAGTCAGGCTGGATGTAAATCCTAGTTTTCTACATAAAGACTAATTCTTCTGGTATAACTTTAATATACAACTAGATGAAGATTTTTAGAATAACAACTTTTCATATTAGTTTTTTTATCCCCAGTTTAATAGGTTAATCATTCATATTTGGACAACTTTTCTGTTGTACTTAGGAAGGAGAAAAATAATCATTCCCTTAATAATAACAATTTAAATAGATTTATTCAACTGAAGCAACAACATTCCAGCATATGTTATTCGCTTAAACATCCATGTTTGGTAACTAATTTGGCTAAACAAAATATATATATTTTAAGAGACTTAGACTGTCGGCCCCTCGCACTGTCGGCCCCTCCCTCCTCGCACTGTCGGCCCCTTCCTCCTCCTCACACTGTCGGCCCCTTCCTCCTCACACTGTCGGCCCCTTCCTCCTCCTCGCACTGTCGGCCCCTTTCCTCCTCGCACTGTCGGCCCCTCCCTCCTCGCACTGTCGGCCCCTTCCTCCTCCTCACACTGTCGGCCCCTTCCTCCTCACACTGTCGGCCCCTCCCTCCTCGCACTGTCGGCCCCTCCCTCCTCGCACTGTCGGCCCCTTCCCTCCTCGCACTGTCGGCCCCTTCCTCCTCCTCGCACTGTCGGCCCCTTCCTCCTCCTCGCACTGTCGGCCCCTTCCTCCTCACACTGTCGGCCTCTCCCTCCTCACACTGTCGGCCCCCCCTCCTCACACTGTCGGCCCCTCCCTCCTCGCACTGTCGGCCCCTCCCTCCTCCTCACACTGTCGGCCCCTTCCTCCTCCTCACACTGTCGGCCCCTTCCTTCTCCTCACACTGTCGGCCCCTTCCTCCTCGCACTGTCGGCCCCTCCCTCCTCGCACTGTCGGCCCCTCCCTCCTCGCACTGTCAGCCCCCTCCCTCCTCGCACTGTCAGCCCCTCCCTCCTCACACTGTCAGCCCTTTCCTCCTCACACTTAGTTTCACTTTCTTCTTGTGCAGATCTATTCCACTCCAATCAATCAGAAAAATATTATTTCTATTCTATTCACTGAACTTCTTGCACCTTCGCAGTGAAGGGGTTGATTCTGTATTCATAGGTTTGTAGAAGTTAGGATGAAGGTCTTTTTCTTAACTCTGTTCATGTTATAACATTTTTGCTGTGAAGAAGAGGCATGTGATCTCCGCTGAGTCACAGTCAGTTTTGAGAACTGCAAAAGTAAACCAACATCTGTGATAATATCTTGTAGGCAGAGAAACTGCCCAATAATCTTACAGAAACCTCTGGAACAGCATAACATTGTGAATGGAGTCATGGAATTTATGTACCAGAAACCTCTGGAAAGCGCGACATTGTGAATGGATTCATGGAATTTATTTACCAAAAAAATTAAACATATACAGCCTTATTCTACATAATTAAAAAAACAATCTTTATTTCATGATGGAATAACCTTTGGATGGTAATATATTTTCCTCAAAAAGCATTTTATTTAAAAAAATCCGATTTAAATAAAAAATATCTGATTTTTTTTTTGATTTTTTTAAAAAAAAACATTGATTTTTATCCACCCTGGTTTGAATTGTAGTACAAATGGAGGTGAGGTATATCTTTATATCAAAGGTGTATAGCAAACCAGCAGATACAAAGTATAATAGATAAATCGTTGTAGGTATATTAATTACTGACCTATCTACTTGTAAGCCCTTATGTTGAGGGAATGTGAAGTGCTGGGAAAGAATAGCACATGGTGATGTGTGCATTATGATTTGTGTGCCCATTTCGGGAGCGTGTGATCCACGTGACATTAGTCACACCTGTATGAGAGATTAAATGCTCGTTGGGGATATATGAACGATGAAAGCGTACAAAAGGTGTGAGATAAAGAGAAGTCAGAGAGGTGAATAGATAGAAGAAGAGATGTAGAGTGAGGTAGTAGTAGGGGGGAATATGAGATAAGAAAAGGGGGGGGGAGGGTGAGAATGGGTAAGGAGTAGAGGGGATGTTAGAATGGGTAAGGAGTAGAGGGGGGTAGAATGGGTAAGGAGTAGAGGGGGTAGAATGGGTAAGGAGTAGAGGGGGTAGAATGGGTAAGGAGTAGAGGGGATGTTAGAATGGGTAAGGAGTAGAGGGGGTAGAATGGGTAAGGAGTAGAGGGGATGTTAGAATGGGTAAGGAGTAGAGGGGGTAGAATGGGTAAGGAGTAGAGGGGATGTTAGAATGGGTAAGGAGTAGAGGGGGTAGAATGGGTAAGGAGTAGAGGGGGTAGAATGGGTAAGGAGTAGAGGGGATGTTAGAATGGGTAAGGAGTAGAGGGGGTAGAATGGGTAAGGAGTAGAGGGGATGTTAGAATGGGTAAGGAGTAGAGGGGGTAGAATGGGTAAGGAGTAGAGGGGGTAGAATGGGTAGCTGCAGATAAATCACATTGTTGTATATGAGCCAGAAAGATAGGTATGTAGCTTAGGATTTAATATGTGGAAGATCATTTAATGGGGCAATATGTGGGTCAAGAACCTGAAAGGTAGGTTATGATGTGGAGTCTCAATCCATCTAAATGTGCATGAAATGTGTCACTGGTGGATAGGGAGTCTTTTGAGATAACATTGTGTCCAATTATTTAACCAGGGGGGGGTGTAGGCTGTTCATGCAATAATAGGCGATAGGTAGGGGTGGTTTTGAAATGACTCCAACAAGCCCAAGTCTTCCTGAATCTCTCGGGATGGTCTTTTGCTACAGAAATCAATTCCTCCATTTCCTCAATTTTGTTGATCCTAGCAAACCATTCCCGAATAGTGGGGACATGTGTTGAGCCCCAGTGGACTGGGATACATTGTTTTGCCGTGTTTACCATGTGCATGGTGAGTGATTTGGGGTACGTCCTAAATGGAAGTGAGTGGTGTAGCAGGAATTGTGTGGGGGAGAGGTCTAGGAAGTACGTAGTTACTTGCGTGATTATGGGTTGGATTTTCCCCCAGAAAGGCTGCAGCAATGGGCAGTCCCACCAGATATTCAAGAGTGTACCCGTCGCCTGGTGACATCTCCAACACAAATCTGAGATGTTAGGGTCAAATTTGTGAAGCAGGGATGGAACTCTGTACCATCTAGAATATAGTTTAAAATAGTTTTCTTGTGTGGAGACACATATGGACCCTTTGTGTATATGGTTGTAGATGTGATCCCAGTCCTCTGGCGATATTTGGAGTTGTAAGTCAGAGCTCCAGGCCTTGCAAGCTTTCCTAGATGGAAGGTCAATGGTGTTTTCGAGGCATGTGTAGAACTTAGATATAACATGTCTCTGGGGAGAGTCTGTTGAGCAAAGTTTTTCAAATGGGATGAGTGTTCTAGTATATTCTTTTAGGTGTGAGGAGCTATGTATAAAGTGGTGGAGCTGTCTGTACATCCACGGCGTCAGGGTTAGGGATGGCCATTTGTTCAAAAGGTGGTCTCTGAGTAAGAATGTTCCATCTTTGAAGAGTTGATGCAGATTCAAATTGTCTGGGGGGCTAGACCCGGCGAGAAACGCACGAGACATACCAGGGGGGAGGTCTGGGTTTATTTTAATAGGAGTGAGTGGACCAGGGGTTGAAGAAAAACCTGTTTTCTGACTTATCAGATGATAACACGAGTAGGGCCTATAAGAAGGTGTTCCCTGAACTCAGACGGGATGTGGGAATTTTTCAGCCAAGGGGAAGTGGCGAGTGGGGTCCCTGAAAATGCAGCTTCCAAATTAACCCAAGCCTTATGGTTGCGGTTCCTAGACCAATTCTTGCCATGTGACAGGTTCTATAGTAGAGGGTGATATCAAGCAGGCCAATACCTCCGTCCGTCTTAGGCATGGTAAGTTGGTCAAAACTGATTCTGGGGTGTTTATTAAACCATTGAAACGAGGTAAATAATGTTTTATAGGACTTAAAGAAGGAATTGGGCAGTTTGATTGGAATCGTTTTCATCAGGTATAATAGTCTGGGAAGCACGTTCATCTTAAG